TGAGAGCCCCGTTTCTTGAGAGCTTCAGGGGTGCTGGGGCTGCCCCGCTTCCCTCTCCCCAGCCCCACGGCACAGCCCCATGGCACAGAGCACCGGGAGCGCCGGCCATGGCACCGGCACATAGAGTCCCACCTGCCATCACCGTTTAAGAGATTTACCCACTAATTGGGGATGCCTTTAATGAGGTTGGTGGTACACACCAGGAGACAGACGTGGGGCAGGACAGGGCCGTGCGTGGGACTCCTGTGCGGTGGCATGTCCCAGCCTGAGTGCCACCGGCCGGGGATGCGGCAGCTCCTGGGATGGCGGTGATGCTCCACGCCGTAGGAAGAGCCGTCCCGGCGCGCCCCTCTGCCCGTGCCCCCGTCCCCCGGTGGCTGTCCCCCGGCCTGCCCGTGTCACACGTGCGCCTGCCATTTCCTCAAATAAGCAGCTAATCTCCATCAATCATAATTTCGCGCAATTATCATAATAGGGCCATTTTGCACTTATCCTCGCCACGTGACGCAGGAGGCACTTACGGCTCCACTTCATGCCGAGTGTCTCCGAGCTGCTCCCGTCCCCGGGGAGTCCCGGTGGCAACCGCGTCCCCTGCAAGCCCCTGGGGACAGACCCGTCCCCTGCCACCCTGGGGAGGGCAGCGGATGCTCGTGCCGGGCGGGATGCAGGCTCAGGGAGGGGACGGTAGCGGGACCCTGTCCCCTAGTCCCCCACCACTGCAGCAGCAGCACAGGGGTTAAGCCCCCAAAATGGGGACAATTAATCTGTTTTTTCCCACCATATGGTCCTGCCGGGCTGGCTCCCCGCGCAGCGGCAGCCTCCCGGTTGTGCTGATACCATGCGGCGTGTGGCGGGGGGCACAGCCGGCAGCCCCAGCTCTGACCCTCCGCCGGCCGGTGGGGAGCAGATTAGGGGGAGGCCAGGAGGCGACGAGACACACGGGGCACGGGTGGGAAATTAGGTGCTGGCAGATGGATGGAGATCCAAGGCTTCACTCCATTTCATTTACTACTCCCTCCTCGGCAGCAGTCGGGGACCCTGGCGCGGGCTCTGGCTCTGTCCCCCCCTGGGCTGGCACAGGATGGGGCTGGGGACACGGTGCCCGTGGCCTTGGGGTGTCCCAGTGGGGATGGACGTGCTCCAAGCAGGACCGGGGTGGCAGCCCCCAGTGCTCCCATCCCACCACGGAACACCGGCTTGGAGCTGTCGGGGGTTGCACCACTTGTCTAGAGCATCAAGCTCCCCGTAACCCAGCGGTGTTTGTGGTGTTTACACCACTCTAGTAATTACTTTCCTTCTTTTTTTTTTTTTTTCTTTTTTTTTTTTTTTTTTTTTTTAATAAATACGGATGTTGCCACAAGTAAACTCTAATGTAATAAAAGCTTTCTGCTGGATCCATAATTAATCAGCTGCGTAAGGCAGGGGGGAGCAAGCGGAAAACCCTCCTGCCGGCGCGGGCTGCGGGGCTCACACCCGGCTGGGAGGGAGGAGAGAAGCCGCGGTGGCACCTTGGGGACATCCCAGCGCCCTGGGGACCATCGCAGCAGCCCCGTGAGCAGCAGCCGGAGGGGGGTCCGTGGGCGGGCAGGGCTGCGGTGCACCCAGGTCTTGGCTTTTGGGGTGCCCGGCAGGCCCCCAGATGTTTTGCTCCCGGCTGTGACAGCACATCTGGGCCAACCCCCTCCCCAAGGCGACGTCCCCGTCACCCCGATATGGAGACCGGGGGCCGGCTCAGCACTGCCGGGGAGCAGCTTCCCCCCTCCCGGCCCCGGCAGCCCCCCAGGGATGGATGGTGGTGACCGGGTGCCGGGGCCGAGCACCGTCTCGGGGGACGTGGCCGTGTCCAGATGGCTGGTGGGCACCAGGTGCCGGGGGACAGGTGGCTCGGGGTGGACATCTGCTGAGCACAGGGTCAGCTGGCCCGGCAGCCTGATGCAATCGAGGGGGGACCCCCTTTCTTTAGGGTGGGGGTCCCTGCACAGCCCGGGGGGGCCGTGCAGGCGCAGAGGAGTATCCTGCGTGACGCAGGCATCTGTGGCTGTCACAGCCCTGTCCCCCCCCCCCCCGGTACCGTGTCCCCGCCAGGCCCTGGATCACTGCAGGGATGGTGGCACCCCGCTGGCATCGGAGCCACACTACTTCGGTTTGCGCCCCTGCTCCCCCCTCCCCCTTCCCCAGGGGGGTTCATCCCTGCAGCCTGAGGGAACCGGGGGAGGCTGGTGACAGATGGCAAGTGCAAAAAAGGAGAATAAAAGCGATAGCGGCAGGAACCAGGCACATCTGCAGGGCATGGGGTGCGCTGAATGCTTCGATGGGGAAATGGGGGGCCCACTGGTGTGGGGGGCTGGCCCCAAGCAGCAGCTGAACACGGGAGAGCTGTGCAATGGGGAGGTGTGCAAGAGCTGCGTGTGCGACGGGGAGGGAGCTGTGCAACAGCCGTGCAACGGGGAACCGTGCGATGGTGAGGTGCTGTGCAGCGGGGAAGGAGCCATGCAGAGGGGAGACGTGCAACAGGGAGGGAGCCTTGCAATGGGGAATGACGCAGCACGGGAGGGAGCCATGCAATGGAGAGCCATGCAACAGGGAGGTGTGCAACGGGGAAGGAGCTGTGCAACGGGGAGGCATGAAATGGGGATTTGTGCATTGGGAAGGTGTGCAATGGGGAGGGAGCCGGGCAATGGGGAGGCGTGAAATGGGGAGCTGTGCAACAGGGAAGCGTGAAATGGGGAGCTGTTCATCGGGAAAGTGTGCAACTGGGAGGGAGCCGTGCAACAGGGAGGGAGCTGTGCAATGGGGAGGCATGAAATGGGGAAGAAGCCATGCAATGGGGAAGGAGTTGTGCAACGGGGAGGAAGCTGTGCAATGGGGAGGCGTGAAATGGGGAGCTGTGCATTGGGAAGGTGTGCAATGGGGAGGGAGCCGTGCAATGGGGAGGGAATTGCAATGGGGAGTCATGAAATGGGGAACTGCAATGGAGATCTGTGCATTGTAAAGGTGTGCAATGGGAAGAGAGCTGTGCAATGGGGAGGGAGCTGTGCAGTGGGGAGGCATGAAATGGGGAAGGAGCTGTGCAATGGGGAGGGAATTGCAACAGGGAGGCATGAAATGGGGAGCGGTCCGTCGGGAAGGTGTGCAACCGGGAAGGAGCCGTGCAATGGGGAGGCATGAAATGGGGAGCTGTGCAACAGGGAGGCGTGAAATGGGGAGCTGTGCATTGGGAAGGTGTGCAACTGGGAGGGAGCCGTGCAACGGGGAGGCGTGAAATGGGGAGCTGTGCATTGGGAAGGTGTGCAACTGGGAGGGAGCCGTGCAACGGGGAGGCGTGAAACGGGGACCCCTGCAACAGAGAGGTGCAAAATGGGGAGCTGTGCAACGGGGAGATGTTGCCATGGCCGGGCTCTGCCCGAGGTCGGGCTCCCGTCCCCGTTTCCGCTCCCAGCCCCGCTGCGCCTCACTGCCGGCCCCGGAGTGGAAACGCACCTGAGGGCGGTGGGTGGGGGGTCACCCCGGCCGCCCCGCTTCATGCACCGCTGCGCGCAGCTGGAAAAACAGGGCTCCAGCAGCGGAGCAGGGGGGGTCCTGCCCCATCCCTGTGCCCGTCACCCGTGGGTGGGTCCGGCTGCCCCCTGGGGCGCGTCCCCCCGCCACGTCCCCCCTTGGCGCAGCAGTGAATGCAAATCTGCAGCGGGAACGGTTCAAAATAAGCGGGAAAAGGTTTCCGCTGGGCGCCGGGGGGATGGGGTGGGGTTGGTGCTGTCACGGCCCGATCAGCCGCCATGTGCCACCTCAGTGTCCCTCAGGATGTCCATGTGTCCCCAGGATGTCCGTGTGTCCCCAGAATGTCTGTGTGTCCCCGGGACATCTGTGTGTCCCCAGGACATGCATGTGTCCCCAAGATGTCTGCATGTCCCCGGCATGTCTGTGTGTCCCCAGGACATGCATGTGTCCCCAAGATGTCTGTATGTCCCCAGGATGTCCGTGTGTCCCCAGGACATCCATGTGTCCCCAGGATGTCCGTGTGTCCCCAGGAAGTCTACGTGTCCCCCAGGACATCTGTGTGTCCCCAGGACATGCATGTGTCCCCAAGATGTCTGTATGTCCCCAGGATGTCCGTGTGTCCCCAGGACATCCATGTGTTCCCAGGATGTCCGTGTGTCCCCAGGAAGTCTACGTGTCCCCCAGGATGTCCGTGTGTCCCCAGGACATGCATGTGTCCCCAAGATCTCTGTATGTCCCTGGGATGTCCGTGTGTCCCCATGATGTCCATGTGTCTCCAGGACGACCATGTGTCCCCACAACATCCATGTGTCCCCAGGACGTCCATGTGTCCCCAGGATGTCCGTGTGTCCCCAGGACATCTGTGTGTCCCCAGGACGTCCGTGTGTCCCCAGGACGTCTGTCCAACACACACAGATCCCCCCCGAATTTGCTGGGGGTCCGGGCTCTGCGGGCCGTGGCATCCCCGGGGCGAGGGCTGCAGCTCCCTGACATCACGGCTGCCTGCCACGACATCAGAGGACACCGCGGTGACATCAGAACCACGCTGAGACCGCGGCGCCACGAGCCCCGCCCCTCCCCCAGTGGGCGGTTTGGGGCGAAATCCCCATAAAATGGGGGCGGGGGGGGGGAGGCGGAACGTTCGGGTGCGGAACGCGCGGGGCCGCGTTTCCGCCGGAGCCCGTTCGCGGCCGGACCGGTCCCCCCGGCGCGCGGTGCCGCTGCCAGGTGAGGCCCCGCCGGGGCTGCGGGGGCCCGGCCCGGGCTGTCCCGTCCCGTAAACGGGGCCCGGGCCCGGTTCCCCTTCCTTGCGGCGGGGTGGGAGGGTTGGGGCAGGGCGGGTGTCGCCGCGGTTAGCAGTGCTTTTAATTAAAAGGTGATAAGGCCTGGTGAGGCCGATCTTGGGGCCTCTGCAGCTTGGGAGCCCCGGGGGTGAGGGGGTTTTCCCGCCGCCGCTCTGGGGTTTGCTGCGGGTGGGGTGAGCGGCAGAGAGCAGGAGGGTGGAAACGCGCTCTGGGGTGAAAGAAGAATAAAGCCCACCCTTGTGGGGTGGAGATGAGGGGTGCGGGGTCGGCAGGGGTTTGGCCTCGCGGTTTCCAGCTCCGCCACGCCGGCCTGAGCTCCCCAGCCGCTTTCCTTCCTTGCTTTAGCCGTAGGATGGTGGAGGGGGGCGTGTTTTTGAGCCTTCTCTCCCCAGGCAGCGAAGACTCATCCTGCCACGCTGCCCCGATCTTCTGCCCCAGTGACAACCTTCAGGTGTGCTCAGCTGGAGTTTGTGTTTCCAGTTACCCCTGAGAGGGAGGTGGGGTAAAGAAAACCCTGTCCTGAGCGTCTGTATGTCTGCACGCACAGTCAACGCCAGTTCGCTGAAGTCCGTAAATGCACAGGCCTGGGTATAAGTGCTGCTGTTTATTGTTCCATTAAATCTGGACGGGTGCTGTGGTGAGAAGGGGATAATGTGATTTTTGGAAGGCGCTGCTCTGAAGTAGCAGCAGCTAACACCTGCTCCGGAGCCGTACGGGGAGCAGCGAGTACGCCAAGTGCACTTAGCTGCGCCGGCCTGGATCACGGTGTGATCCTGGCAAACGCTTCCTTCCAATTAACGCCCCTCTTAATGTCTGGGGCATTAACATCTCGCCAGTGAGCTGGCCTTGGGCGCAGGTTAGGAGGATGTGGCTTGGTTTAGGTTACAAATGGTGTTAGCTCTTTATATTTTAGTCTCTACGGAGAAATGGAAAGATGTCACGCGAGCTTTGTCATGACCTGCTTTGTTTTTTTTCCATCCTGACGGTGTATGTCATGAGTGCACGCGGTTACCACGTTCTGGGTTTAAAGCCTCCCTCCCCCCAGATGTTTCCGCATTAAATCACAAGTTTCTTTTGCAGAAGCAGAAATTGAGGTCGATATGCAAAAGAAAATTCGTGCAAAGCCAATGTCTGCCTGGAGAAATGCTCTGAAAGTGGATGGGAGCGACTGCAGGGCTCGCAGCTACGTCTCTGCAAAAATAAACGCTCGCTGCTGTCAGCAGGTGTTGCCCGTGGACGTGGCTCCGCAGCCTGAGCTGGGCTAAGCTGTATTCAGCTCATCCCTGTGTTGCTGCTGGTTCTTTGGATCATTTTTATTTCAGTTCCTCCCCGTGGTGGGAAGCTGAGCTGGGTGGCTGTTTGTGTGGAGCTGCTCCACTGATAGGCATTTATAAAAAATTTTGTAAAAAATTTTTGTTATTGCCAGCATCAAGGAAGTGTCATGTACAATCATCCAGAGTGAGAAGTTGTCCTCTTTGGCTGTCTCCTCTTGTCGTAGTATCTCTCTGGGGATACTTCAGTGGTGGTGTTTAACAGCAGCCATTAGACAGGCCGTGCAGTAAATCCCTTTCTCTTCTGCCTCAGCCCTCTTCGTTCCTCTCTGCTCCCCTGTTGGCATCGGTGATGGTCATTGCATGGTAAAGGTGCTTGTTCTTGCTGAGCTTCCAGCCTGTGTGCAGAGGGGGTTAGGCTTCTTCTGAGGCATCTCCTCAGTCCTCTCAATTTATCGCTTCTTCCTCTCATCTTTGGTGTACCAGTGGTCTCCCCTGCAAAGTGTTCCTGTAGGCCTGAGGCTCCCATCTCCCTCATACTCTTAAGAGTTTTGCACTGTGTGTTCAGTTTTTCCCTGGTGTTTTTGTGAGATGATCCAGGTGGTGTCCAACACTATTACACGAACCTTTCCCTTTGAAAGTGAGCGGATGGGGAAGAGAGGGGTAGAGAGCAAACTGCCGGCACTTCTCTCCAGTTACCACAAAAGCTTTTTTTCCAAACTTCTCCCATGAGTGGGTAGATTGATGTCATCGTGCTGTCTAAGCGCAAAGGCAGAATGCATGACGTTTGTGCCAGCCTGTGATCTTCCTGTAAAGCCTTAATGGTGCTGGTACGCCTTCCCGTTCCCTTCTGGAGATTTTCTCTGTTGAAATGCGTTCTGTCATCGCTGTGATGGTTGGGCTGGGCTCGGCTCAAGCTCTGGCTGCCCAGGTGGAGCCTGGTGCCGCAGCTGGGCTTGTCCTGATACTCTGCCCAGCCCTGGGTGCTGCCAGGTTGATGCTTACAGAAGTGCTGAACCAAATCCACAGGTTGTGGGGTGCGTGGCTGCGCTTCCCTGCTGCCATTTGCTGGGAAAACCAGCGGCTGGGCTCGGGGTGGGCAGTGCTCATGCTGCCTGGGGCTGTTCGGGAGCTGTTAACCACTTGATCTGTCACTAAGAAGGCTTTTGAGCTGAAGCAGTGTTTGTAATGGATGACCCCTCGGGAGGGTTTAGGCACTTTCCTGTACTGAGACGTGCTATTGCTTGAAGGAAAGCTCACACAGGAAACAATCCTCTACTGGGCTGAGCCTTAGGAGGCTTGGATTTCGTGTCTGGCTCCGCGCTGCCTAACTGGAAGCGCAGAGCAAGGCAGCGGTTTACCAAAGTGGTGGAAACTGCAAACTTGAGAGCTAGGGACTGTTGTAATTAATTTCTTTAAATGCTGGTCCCACTGAGTTAGAATGGCACCTCAAGTAGTCACTATTTAATGTCCTAATATTACTGATCGATGGAAACTATTTCATAATTTAAGTTAGTCTGGGTTTTAGGAACACAGAGGCTTTGTAGGGAAGGGTCTCTGTCTCTTGTTCCGTCCGGGCAGGGCCTAGCGCACTGGGGATGCAGCAGTCTGAAGCATAAACATTAATAATACAGTGGGTATTATTCAAATGAAGGCTGCCACTTTTCCTTTGTGGGAATAAACCCCTGGGTAATTGCTGCACATACTTATCTGTTCCTATAATTGCTTTCTGCAGAATCACTTCAAAACAAGCGGCGCTGGCAGGATGCTGGTCTCCCTGCTCTTCCCCCGAGTGAGCCGGCCCCTTCGATGCCTCGTCTGGGACTTGCACCGCTGCAGATGGGGGTTGCGTGGGCAGAAGAGGGCTGGCTGTCCCCGGAGGGGTCTGCAAACCGCATGGGCAACCTACAGCAGCGACGTTACCCCCGTCTTCACTAGGGCTTTGGCTTTCGGCGATAAAATCGCCATCGTTGACCAAAACGGTGAGCACACTTACAGGGACCTTCTCAGCCAGAGCCTACGCTTGTCCCAGGAGATCTGTAGAGCTCTGGAGTGCCCCAGCAGGGACTTGAAGGAAGAGAGGATCTCATTTTTGTGTCCCAATGATGCCTCTTATGTGGTGGCCCAGTGGGCTTCCTGGATGAGTGGGGGCATAGCAGTGCCCCTTTACAAGAAACACCCTGTGCAGGAGCTGGAATACGTGATTCAGGATTCGCAGAGCGCTCTAGTCATCGCAGCAGAGGAATATGTGGGGAAAATAGCTCCTAGTGCTGAGAAGCTGGGAGTCCCAATTCTGCCGCTTCTTAAGTCTCATAGTGATGGATCGGCAAGTCATGCAGCAGTGGAAGAGGGTCCCTTGACAACCTGCTCCTCGTGGAAAGACAGAGGAGCCATGATAATCTACACTAGTGGGACGACAGGAAGACCCAAAGGTGTCCTCAGCACCCATGAGAATGTGCAAGCTGTGGTGAGTGCTGCTTTCCCTCTGCAAAGCTTGTGCCGGGTTACGGAGGTCTTGGCCTTCAGAGGTGATTTGGGATTGCAAACCCCAAAGCACGACGCACCTTACCACAACTGGATTCCTGCACAGAGCTGTGGGGCTGTGCCTTGAAAGTCCTCAACACTTCTAAGGTGAATACAGAGAAGAGTGTTTGAGGCTCTGAACTTTGTCCCCTTGGGGTTGCTGTGCTGCAACTGCAGCCAGGGGCAGGTGGACTCTTCTCCTTTCTTTCCTGGAAAGCAGAAGGGATGAGACCTACTGTAAAAAGACTGCTGTCTTTGCAGTTTGCTTTTTGTCACTGTGACTAGGAAAGAATCTTTGTCCCTAATTGGAATATGACTTAGCCCAGTACAGTAGTGTGTGAAGTCTGTGCATTATTCAACTATATATCCCCAAGGCAAAAAATCCATTAGCTCTCTGAGCCAAAAGGAATTAAAAGTTTGAATGAGCCTGCTGACTACCTCACCAGTTGGTTATCACTGCCTGCAACTGATAGACTCATGCCATTAGGGAAAAAGGGCAGGGAATACATCATGCCTTACGGACGCCTCCGAGAGCTTACGTTGTGCTGGGTGCTCAGATACTGCAATGTTGGGAGTGGTATGAAAGCCTTGATGGATAGAGCCAGGGCTTGGCTATATTGGGCAAAGAATCTGTTCCCTTACAAATATGCTGATCATTTGGGGGGTGGCCTGAGCAGTCGCTGTCTTCTGTGCTGTCTTGCAGAAAGCCTGAAACCTGCTCCCTGCCCCGTGGAAGAGGGTCGTGAATAACACGACTGAATTCCACTGTTCAAATGCTTTTATATTTTTAGATGTCTGGAAATAAGCTTTCCAGTTGCTAACACTGGGCTCTGAAGGGCATTGTTCACCCAGAAACCTGAGGTCTAATGCTTTAGATTATTATCCCTTCATAGCAAAGTGTTTTAGAAGCTTGATATACTAATATTTTTTTATTAACATGAAGCCTACTGTTCATCAGACAGTGATTTTCTGCTTCTACTGACTGTTCCTTACAGGCACTAAAAGCCCAATGTCATCTGTGTCCAAACTGTCAGAGTTCTGGGAAAATTAGTTTTCTGATTACTATTTCTGCCAACTCTGCATGTGCAGCACCAGGCTAATAATTTTGTAGGCCCTGCTTAAAATCATTGTGGATTATTCCTCAGTAATGAGGAAGGACTTTGCCGATATATGTGAAGATATGTGCTGACAAGATGCAGAAGGTGTTCATCTTGTATTCTACTGTCGTGGTGGGAATTTTGCTCATGCTGGCCCTAAAGGAAAGACATTTGTGCCCAGGCATTGTTCCAGGAGGTCAGGGGCTTCTGCTGCTGGCTGTGTCTGGGGGATTTGGGGTACATCAGGCTTTTCAAGCAGTGAGAGTCTTTCGTCCTGCTCTAACCCCTGGGTTGTATGTTTTCTCCTGCAGACCACAGGGCTGGTTGAAAAATGGGAGTGGAAGAAGGAGGATGTTATTCTGCACGTGCTGCCTTTACATCATGTCCACGGGGTGATCAATAAGCTCCTCTGTCCTCTCTGGGTGGGAGCGACATGCATCATGCTACCCGAATTCAGTGCACAGATGGTAAGCCTGGAGGGATTGCGCGTTGTCTTTGAAATACAGCAGCAAGACCCCATGCATTGTAATTAGAGCAACTTTGGAAGTAAGTTCTTAAAGCATTCCAGCCTCTTCAGCCACTGGCTGCATGTGGTTCATAAAGTGTCTGTTAAAAACCACTTTTAGTTGGACGTTCAGTCTGGACTAAATGGGCTCTTCCGGAGGCTGCAACTTGTTTAAGTGTGACGTACGTAACTGTAACTCTACACTGCCCCTCCTTGTGATGTTGAGGGTCTCTGACTGGAGGTGGGCCCTTCTGTGTACCTGCTAAGAGCATCTGCACCTGGAATAAGGGCTGTTAATTTTCTAGTACCAGGAAAGGTGGAAATACTGGCTTTTTCTCTTGGATGTTAGCAGTGTGCTGCTTGAAGCTATGCTGCTTGGTGGCGTTTTTGGTAGCTTGCATTTCTCCCTTCCAATCCTATGTCCTCGGTGTTTTATATTCCGTTACATGGCAGAACACAGGCTTTAGAGTTTCTTGCAGCCCAGGTAAGAGAAATAGTGGTACTCATCACTTGCATGGAAACACTGCTCTTGTTCTGTGGAGAAACAAGTGTTAGCAGATCAGTCGGTTTAGACTCAGTGGTATGAGAGAGTTTGCACATGGAGAGCTTCTTGCAGCCTTGCAGGAAAGGTGGCAGGAGCGAAACCTTACTTGAGTGCAGTAGAGACACACTTACACTGTTGTTTTCTAGCTGAGACAGGAAACGCCAGTCCCAGTGGTCTGCCTCTCTTTTGTTCCTTGCCACAGTGGCAGACAGCTGACCTAAAGAGAGGAAGAAAAGGGAACCAACAGTAAGGTAGAACAGCTTCTCCAGTTACCAGCCCCTGGGATCCAGCACTGTTCATCCATGTCTCCTGGTGTTGTAGGTGGTGTGAGAGACGTTGGAGTCTGCAGCATCGCTGTTAAGGGAGCAGTTGGGTTTTCAGGTGCTGGTTCCACCTTGTAGCAGAAAGGAAACGTGTTGTTGGTAGAGAACGCCCTGGGAAAGTGAAAAGAGGCTGTCAAGCCTGTGCTTTGTAATTAAACAGGCTTCTTTACCTGTTCGTGTTTATTCATGTGCTGGGTGGCCTCGTCACACTGAAAAGGATGAAGTGCAGAGGTGTGGGATATACCCTGAAGCCTTTGATTGTGCTGCTCTCAGGCAAGGGTGAGCCTGGGCTCTGGTCTGAGCGACTGCAGGACCGTGTGATTTCTTCATTGCTTATTTCTGCTTCTCGAAGAAGCAACCACAGAAAATGCACGCTTCCTTTCTTGTTTCAAGATGGCCCTGACACCTGAACACCCTCTTGGTGCCCAAGCACTGATCCTTTGCGGGGGGGGAACAGCTGCAGAATCTTGGAGGAGCAGCTCTGCAGTCGCATTTCCAGAGTAAATAGGTAGGATGCTGTGGTAGAAGGCGGCAGGAGGGTCCTGGGCAGCTGTAGCCAGTGCTCTCTCCTCACTGGTCACTGCCAAATTGCCTTCCCCCTCTCTTCAGGGTGTCACCCCAAAAGCTCAGGGTGCAAGCAGGGGCATGTGCCCCAGCAGAGCTGGGGCTGGGAGCGCGCCCAGCACTGGTGATGCTGGTGGGGTGGCAGAAGAGCGTGCCGGGAGCCTGGAAGCAAAGCCGAGTCCTCTGGAGGGCGCGTTTCTCCGCGTCCTGTGCCACGGGTGATTGATTGTCCCTTATACCCTTGTGTTTTTCTCTGCTCTCTCCCGACATCTGCAAATCGATGAGGTGACGTTGAAGGATGGGTTCAGGTGCAGGGGAGCGGGACACCCCGCCTGCCTTCTCTGATCAAAGCTCCCCCCCCCCCTACCCCCCCCCCGCCCCAGCCTTGACAACCAAGGGCAGGCGGGGACAGCGCTGGAGGGCGGCTGCTTGACCCTGGAGGTTGAACTTGGACAGGGAGGTCGGTGTGGCAAGCGTGCCTGCCGCAGCGAGCCCCGTTCCGAGGGCTCTCAGGTGCGTTCGGGCTCTGAAGGACGTCATTTGCTTTTCTATTTCTTTTTTTTTTTTTATTCCCTTTATTTTTTCCGAGGGCCTCCCCTGGGAGCTGAAAGTGGTTTGATCGACACTACAAAGAAAGCACATGAGGGTAAATAAGGCTTTCTTGTGGAGTTTAATGCAAGCTGCCTTTCAGTTCCAGTCTATTTTCACCAGCTGTTTACAAAATGCCCTTTGCTACTGAAATCAGCTTTCAGAAAAGCAGCAGAGTTTCAGTGGAGGATTGTGCAGAAGGAGCCTGAGTTTTGCTGTGTGCGTTTTTTCCCTTCGCTGCACCTTGAGAAAGCAGCCAATTATAGTGTGATATAAAGAAACTCGAATGGCAGCTAAAACACTTGACAGGCTGATCAAAACAAGGCTAGGAACTTACTCGCAACCTGCTGCAGACATATTTAGCCTTGAGTGATACTGGCAAGGGTTCAAGAGAAACCGCAGCAGCATGCCCAATGTGTGTTTGGTTTCTAATCACTAACACTTCATTATACAAAATAAATACTTTATTATTACAGTGTTTATTAAATTACATAATTTGCGGCATGCCTTATAGTTGTGGATACAGATGCCAGTCTGGTTTCAGTGGTGGTAATAATGCTCTTTTTTTCTTAGTTTAAAGACATTTCAAGCCCCGGACCAAGGCTTGCTTGTCGTTCCCTGCAGTGCAGTGTTAGGAGGTGACATCTTTCAGACCCTTTCGTCTGCTTTTGGTAGCTGTCCAAGGAAAGGTTAAAAATCAAGACTGTGGAGTAACCCCAGTGTCCTGACCAACATCCACTCTCTCACTAAAACAGCATCTGATGTCTGCAGCTGCATGCAAGCTATTGCTGAGGCCACAAGGGCTCATTAAAGTGCATTGAGATGCCTCAAGCGTGAAAGTTGCTGCATAAAATCAGATTCTTTTTATTAAATGAGGACATCCATTACTTTGCACTAGCTACTGTACATGTTATAATTCACTTTATAGCACCATCTGTTAAGACTGCCTTGCTTAAGCTTTCCATAGTATCTTTTTATTGTAAGTTATTAAAAAATAAGGCTGCATCTATTAATCATTTATTAATAAAGGGTTTATAAATGGACCCTTAATTTCCAGCATTACAGTCGACTCATCCGTGACATGCTAAGTCCTCTGGTGCGTGTACTCCTTGGGGTGCAGCGTGGCTCCACGGGGAGCCCCTCGGGCTGCTGCCTGCACCCCTGCTTGGAGAGAGTGGGAGCAGCACCCAGTGCTCCTGCCTCTGCTTCTGGTGCTCGGGCACCGGCTGTGGGGGGGGGAGACATTTCAGTGCTGCTGTGGGCATGTGGACGCCGAGCAGGCAGGAGAACAGCAGTGAGCCTGCAAGTGCGTTCCTCCCAGCAGCTGTGTGGGGCAAGGGTAGCTCTGATGTTGTTGTTTTTATTTTTTTTTTTTCAAGGGTGAGAACTGGGCGGGCAGAAACCTCCTTTGGAACCAGAGCAAGCTGCAGCCTAAGCATCCCTATATGATCCTCCCATTATAACTTGCTTCCAGGCTGAGCTTACCTCTCCAGCTGCACTGTTCCTGTTTGCATTTCTCAGCTGCTTCTGAACCCGTTTGAAATGCCTGCCCTTTTTTTCTTACGGAGGAGTAGAAATTTGAAAGATTTTTACAGTTTTCGTGCAGATTGGTGGCGAGTAATGCCTCTGCTTAAGGAAAGGAATGCAAGGTGAGCCTTCTCCTTACCGGCCACCAGTGAAAGCCCATGACCAAGTGCTTTTTGAAGGCCTCTGTGAACGTTGGGGTTTGCACCAAGCAGCTAGTAGAGCACCCGTTCCCCAGTGACCCCCTCTTTCCATCTCCCTTCACCGCATCGATTCAGTGGCGCCTGCTGAGGCTGAGCACACTCTGTGACGTGACTGTTACTTGATGGAAATGTTGGCGTGTCTGGAGAGGTAGACCCAGGGGAAGCTGGGTGTCCTCTGTGCTGGTGCTCTTGCCGTGACAGTCGCATGCTGGTGGCCCCATTCCCAACCAGGACCCAGCTGCACCGGGCAGGAGCTTTTCGGAGCAAGTCGTGAGGTCAGTGTCTGCTTTGCAGGATCCTCTGCTGAGGCTTTTGGCCAAAGTGGATCTGCTCTGAGTTTGAACAATGGGAAGGGCTTGTCTTTGCCTTGGACCATCTCTGATCTTGCCTTAAGGGAAAGATGTTCCAACAGCAAAAGGCTCCCTGTCAGCTCTTCGCACTGATAAACGTGAGATCAGATCTCAGGAGGTCTTTTGGTCTTGAGTGCAGAGCGGGAAAGAAGTATTCAAAAACGTGAAGAGGGGGGAAAAAAAAAAAAAACAACAAACAAACAAAAAACTTGCTCTGCTGAGTGATGGGGGAAGCTTATAGCAATCTCAGCTTGGTGTGACCTAGTTGTGGCGGGTGCTGCCCGTTTGGCTCGGCTGGGCAGGTTTCGAGCTGTGGTGTGCTGCCTGCGGAATGACAACACTGTCTGTGCCCTGCAACCACTGCCCTGATAAATATGCCGAGATGCAGTTTTATTGCCCTAAAGCTCCAAAAGGAGCTGTTGTTTCGGTGCCAGTGTTACTGCATGTTTGACTTAAGGTGCCTCCGAGGATCAAGCCCTCTTGAAAAATCATACCCGGTTTTACCATGTCACATGCAAAACCGTCAAAATCGTTAATTTTATTTGGACCATTCTAGGCATTTTTTCGTGATGTGAATGAGGAGTGCCCAAAGCCAGTGTGTGATTTGGGACTAATTCCCCTGACGTGCTGCGAGCGTGCTGTCACCCGGGGCAGCTTTTTTTTCCCCCGTGGTGGGAGGGCGCAGCAGACCTGATGCTTGTCGAGGTTTTTTGCCTGTGAGGTGTTGCTCCAGGGTCGCTGCCGCACTGTGTAGTTCCCCCCCCCCCCCCCGACTTCCCCGTGAAGCCCAACAGCCTGTGCTACACCTGCGAGCAAACCGATTGCCCTCGCTGCTGCTGTTATCTGTGCGAGCCAGGCTAGGCACT